GGACATTGTCTCAAAGCAGGATTTGTTTGACTTCCTTTACGTCAATGCAATTTCCCAGGATGGAAGATGTGTTTGGCACGAGCTTGTTTGATGAATGCCAAGGTGCTTTGTTGCTCATCTTCATAAAGATTCTCTGCATTAAGACTCAGGTTCATAGCAGGCTTCAACTTGCACAGGTAAAGCCCCAGTGCAGTTCAAGTCCAGTGCCATATTCTGTTGGCCATCACGGGTATGGGGCACAGGACAAGGCTTAAGTGCAATTTCTTGGATCATTTATGGTTTTATCGTTTATGTTTGATGCTATCCAAAGTGCCAACCGTCTTTCAGCACGTAAGTAGGATTTCCTCGTTAGTATAGTGGACAGTATCTCCGCCTGTCACGCGGAAGACCGGGTTCGATTCCCGACCGGGGAGTCTGTTTGCTAACACCGGTGCTCTATTCTTTTGCACACCACGCGAAAGAACCATGAGACAAGGGCTTAAGTGCAATTCCTTGGCTTTTTTATGTTTTGGTCATTTTCCACGTGCCGCGTCTTTACAAGCCTTACCAGGAATGGAGCGTAAGACAAGGCTTAAGTGCAACTCCTTGGCCAAGCGTCTTTACAAGCCTTAGCAGGAATGGAGAGTAAGACAAGGCTTAAGTGCAACTTCTTGGCCAAGCGTCTTTTCAAGCCTTTTCAAGCCATTTCTAACCCCAACCCTAAGCTGTACATGATGTAAGAGAAAACGTGATTCCTCAGACCAAGCCACCTTCTTACTGCTCAAGGGTGCAACGGTTAATACACATCATTTAATACTTGACGTAAAACACAGTTACAAAACATTTAACTCAAAGGAGCTACTCCACTCACCAGCGGTAGCAGTCAGGAATTCCAGGAAATATCCCTTTTTACCATTAAATACATTTCTAGTATGTTAAGAGAGATAATACACTTTAGTCGTTAGCTTACATTTAGTGTGAATGGCTGAGCGGCGGGCCTAACCATTCTATCGGACTGTCTTTACAAGTTTTAGCAGGAATGGAGCGTAAGACACGGCTTAAGTGCAACTCCTTGGCCAAGCGTCTTTACAAGGCTTACCAGGAATGGAGCGTAAGACAAGGCTTAAGTGCAACTCCTTGGCCAAGCGTCTTTTCAAGCATTTTCAAGCCATTTCTAACCCCAACCCTAAGCTGTACATGATGAGAGAAAAACGTGATTCCTCAGACCAAGCCACCTTCTTACTGCTCAAGGGTGCAACGGTTAATACACATCATTTAATACTTGACGTAAAACACAGTTACAAAACATTTAACTCAAAGGAGCTACTCCACTCACCAGTGGTAGCAGTCAGGAATTCCAGGAAATATCCCGTTTTACCATTAAATACATTTCTAGTATGTTAAGAGGATAATACACTTTAGTCGTTAGCTTACATTTAGTGTGAATGGCTGAGCGGCGGGCCTAACCATTCTATTGGACCGTCTTTACAAGCCTTAGCAGGAATGGAGCATAAGACAGGGCTTAAGTGCAACTCCTTGGCCAAGCGTCTTTTCAAGCCTTTTCAAGCCATTTCTAACCCCAACCCTAAGCTGTACATGATGTGAAAGAAAACGTGATTCCTCAGACCAAGCCACCTTAAGTGCTTAAGTGCAACTCCTTGGCCAAGCGTCTTTACAAGCCTTACCAGGAATGGAGCGTAAGACAAGGATTAAGTGCAACTCCTGGGCAAAGGGTCTTTTCAAGCCTTTTCAAGCCATTTCTAACCCCAATAAAGTTTATTATTATTATTATTATTATTATTATAACCCTAAGCTGTACATGATGTGAAAGAAAACGTGATTCCTCAGACCAAGCCAACTTCTTACTGCTCCATGGTCCTGTGCTGATGCTCATGTGATTTTCTATGAGCTTTTGATGGAAGACACTGGCCAGCATAGCCAGTGTAGAGGCCACCATTTTCTTGGTTTTCATCCCTGGTTGTCTAGTGGTAAGACCGGTGTTTAAGTTGTATAAACACAATCATACATATATAAACACATTCACGAGCGACGCCCTCGGGAAACACAAGCACATGAATAAGGCAGGTAATCAAACTAAACCCAACACCTGCCGTGAGATCACATTCACACTAACCGCACCTGCCCGACTCAACTGCACCCCAGCATGCCAACTACATTATGAACAGTCTTATCAACAAAGTGGATTGAAATGGATAGAAATGGCTTGAAAAGGCTTTTCCTTTGCCCAGGAGTTGCACTTAATCCTTGTCTTACGCTCAATTCCTGGTAAGGCTTGAAAAGACGCACGGCCAAGGAGTTTCACTTAATCCTTGTCTTACGCTCCATTCCTGGTAAGGCTTGTAAAGCACGCGGCCAAGGAGTTGCACTTAAGCCTTGTCTTACGCTCCATCCCTGGAAAGGCTTGTAAAGACGGTCCAATAGAATGGTTAGCCCCCGCTCAGCCATTCACACTAAATGTAAGCTAACGACTAAAGTGTATTATCTCTCTTAACATACTAGAAATGTATTTAATGGTAAAACGGGATATTTCCTGGAATTCCTGACTGCTACCGCGGTGAGTGGCGTAGCTCCTTTGAGTTAAATGTTTTGTAACTGTGTTTTACGTCAAGTAATTAAATGATGTGTATACCGTTGCACTCTTGAGCAGTAAAAAGGTGGCTTGGTCTGAGGAATCACGTTTCTTTCACATCATGTATAGTAGCTTAGGGGGGGGGAAGTAAAAATGCTTGAAAATGCTGAACGACCAGGAGTTACACTTACCACCTGACACTCCTGGTAATGGTCTTGTAAAGAGGCTTTTGGCCAAGGAGTGCACTTAAGCGGTGTCTTACGCTCCATTCCGCTAAAGGCTGTAAAGACAGTCCGATAGAATGGTTAGGCCCGCCGCTCAGCCATTCACACTAAATGTAAGCTAACGACTAAAGTGTATATATCTCTTAACATACTAGAAATGTATTTAATGGTAAAACGGGATATTTCCTGGAATTCCTGACTGCTACCGCTGGTGAGTGGAGTAGCTCCTTTGAGTTAAATGTTTTGTAACTGTGTTTTACGTCAAGTATTAAATGATGTGTATTAACCGCTGCACCCTTGAGCAATAAGAAGGTGGCGGTCTGAGGAATCACGTTTTCTTACACATCATGTACAGCTTAGGGTTGGGGTTAGAAATGGCTTGAAAAGGCTTGAAAAGACGGCTTGGCCAAGGAGTTGCACTTAAGCCTTGTCTTACTCTCCATTCCTGCTAAGGCTTGTAAAACGCACGCAGCCAAGGAGTTGCACTTAAGCCTTGTCTTACGCTCCATTCCTGGTAAGGAACGTAAAGACGCGTGGGGGGGAAAAAATGACCAAAACATAAAAAAGCCAAGGAATTGCACTTAAGCCTTGTCTCATGGTTCTTTCGCGTGGTGTGCAAAAGAATAAAGCAACGGTGTTAGCAAACAGACTCCCCGTCGGGAATCAAACCCCGGTCTTCCGCGTGACAGGCGGAGATACCGTCCAACTATACGACAGAAAAACCTACTTACACGCTGGAAGACGGTTGGCACTTTGGATAGCATCAAACATAAACGATAAAACCATAAATGATCCAAGAAATTGCACTTAAGCCTTGTCCTGTGCCCCGTACCCGTGGTGGCCAACAGAATATGGCACTGGACTTGAACTGCACTGGGGCTTTACCTGTGCAAGTTGAAGCCTGCTATGAACCTGAGTCTTAATGCAGAGAATCTTTATGAAGATGAGCAACAAAGCACCTTGGCATTCATCAAACACAAGCTCGTACACACACATCTTCCATCCTGGGAAATTGCATTGACGTAAAGGAAGTCAAACGAATCCTGCTTTGAGACAATGTCCACTGTAAAAAGCGCTACACAAATAAAATTGATTTGAACTGAATCGAATGTGTACATGTAAAGTTGTAAATGGTCTAGTTACTTAATTGAAGTAAATGTATTGAAGAAGGGCAGAAACATGAGAATATAAAGATGCACAAACACGTTTATTGGCTCCAGAAAAAATAGTCTAGTGTTTCCTTAAATCACTTTGCCGCTTTGCTTGTGAAGAGCAAATTCGAATAGAAAATCGATCTCGTTTGCTAGCTCACTTATCAAAGATAACTATAAAATACTTTATATTATAAAATACTATTAGTAACCCATAATTAACTAAATGGTCTCGCGCCGCAGTATCTAAGCGACCTTTGCTTTTCTATGATCCCGCCACGCCTACTTAGATCAAAAGATGCAGGCTATTTGTTCGGTACCTCGAATAGCGAAGGCTACAACAGGAGGATGAGCTTTCTCTGGGGCGCCCCACACTTATGGAACAGTCTTCCAATTAGAGTTCGGGACTCAGTCTCAGTGTCTGAGGCTTTGGTATTTGTTTAATCAAGCCTACCCTGACTAGACTTTCTCTTATGCTAAGCACAGTCCTAGTTTTTTCTCTCCCTCCCTCCTTCTGTCGAGCCACACCCGATTTTATGGAGATACTAGAGATCCTGATCCCCTCGCTCTCTGGACCTACCTGATCCATTTTGGATGGCCTACCTCTGGATGGAGCTCTCATCTACTCCAATTCCAGATTGCTGGGACTACAGCTGCTTCTAAGGCCAAAGAGACTCCATATGAATCCATAATCATCTTTTTTCACACTATCTGATGTTACCCAGATGAGGATAGGTTCCCTTCTGATTCTGGTTCCTCTCAAGGTTTGTTCCTCTTAACATCTTAGGGAGTTTTTCCTTGCCTCCGCTCACCACTTAGTGGCTTGCTCAGTTGGGATAAATTCGCACCTTATATATCGATATACCGAATGGTTTTATAGATATACATGGATTGAGCTTTGCTTCACCTTCGATAGCTCAGTTGGTAGAGCGGAGGACTGTAGGTACTTAAACTAGTCATCCTCAGGTCACTGGTTCCAATCCGCCGAAGGACGGATTCTCTGTGTGATATGGTTTCTTTTAAATGTTAATTTGGCCAGCGGTGGATAAAACACCATTCCCTGACGGAATCGAACCCCGGCCGCGGCGGGCAAAGCGAATCCTTACCACTAGACAACCAGGGACGAACACCAAGGCAATGGTGGCCTCTACACTAGCTATGCTGGCCAGTTTCTTCCATCAAAAGCTCATAGAAACTGCACATGAGCATCAGCACAGGACAGTGGAGCAGTAAGAAGGTGGCTTGGTCTGAGGAATCACGTTTCTTTCACATCATGTACAGCTTAGGGTTGGGGTTAGAAATGGCTTGAAAAGGCTTGAAAAGATGCTTGGCCAAGGAGTTGCACTTAAGCCCTGTCTTACGCTCCATTCCTGCTAAGGCTTGTAAAGACGGTCCAATAGAATGGTTAGCCGCCCGCTCAACCATTCACACTAAATGTAAGCTAACGACTAGAAAGAACCAACTCCACTGCTTTGTTGCCGAAATACTTGAGCAGGGTCCCTAAGTGAAGCCTATACATTACTCAAACAAATTGCATGGGAATACGTTCAGACATTGGTCGACGATGAAGCAAGGCTGTTTTATGTAGTTGTGGCCGTACCCTCCGGCGAACGGACTGGCAATCAGTTCCTAACACATCCTAACGCAGTTCAAAGAGGTCCTAACAAAGTCCTAACACATTCCTAACAAAGTCCTAACACATTCCTAACAAAGTCCTAACAGTTCCTAACCCTCATGCACCGGGGCAAAACGGCCATTGGTCGAAGCGTAGTGACGTGGAAAATCACGTGATTAATAAACGAGACGGGTGTTTTAAAATGCCGCCAGAGACAATTCGCGTTTTTTCTGATGTGAACTCGCGGTTTTTTCTGATGAGCAAACACGCCATCCAAACCGATGAAAACTCCTGCCTAGAATTTCATTTAAACTCATTTGGTTGTATCATAAGTAAAGGTGAACAGTTGGGAGAAAAAAAAACGTCGGTTAATGTGTTAATGAGGGACACGCTTGTGGTTGTGTGCACGGAGTTTGCATGCTCATGTTCCGTTTAGCGGTTTCTTCTTCTTCTTCAAAATTGCACCTTGGGAAAAATCTAGTGCATTTCTGGGCAAACCTTAGCCAATTTTCGTAGAGAGAAAGTGCCCCAGTACTGCCCCGTTAGTGCACGGTCCTGCTCCCCCGGAGACACACCTCTCTTGCGGCTCCTCTGTACAGTGAGGGGCAGAGAGGAGCAGCTCATTCATCCACTTCAAACTTTCTCTCGCAGTGATCATTTTACAGATAGCCGAAAACGACAACACGCCGCTGTATTTAAATTATCATCTAGTAACTGGAAAAGGCAGCATATAAAATGTGCTTGTGTTTTATTTTTATTATATTGTTATTATATTGTTGTTATTATTATTATTATTATTATTACTTAAATAAAGAATATGTTTGAATTACATCTTGTAGATTCCTTGAAAACAAAAACAATTGTGCTTGAAAAGTTTTTGAATGTCCTGGAATTTCAATATGAAGCACCCCTTCCAGCGTGTCCCCGCCTTGTGCCCCAAGCCCCTGGGATAGACTCCAGGCTCCATGCAACACGTTGTAGGATAAGCGCTACAGAAAATGGATGGACGTGTCAAAATATTTTATTCAAACAGTAAAAGAGAAATCTCCTCAGTGTTAACCGATTCACGTTATAGTTTACTTTATCATTGATACTGCTTTTAGATAACTAAAAACTTTTAGCACTCTTTAGTTTAGTTTAAACATTATTATCTATTCTATTTACAATGTAAGATTGTATTTGATGCTGACATAAAATAAATTCATACATAATTAGGTAACCGTCCATGTACATAAAGAAACATGAATTATAGAATTATATTCATGTCATCACTAACCTAAAAATGAGCTCAAGTTGACTGATATTTAGCCTGTTGTTTCACATTTGCAGACATGACCAAAACCGCAAACCAGACGTGTACTGGTATGACATCCTTTGCGTAGCAAGTACCCAAGGGAAGTACCACTTCACAACAGGCAAGAAGCCAGGAGCAAAGAAGTGGAAGGCTGCGTTGCACAGTATTGATAACTGTCCATCACACAAGCAGACCCGTATTTACGACATGTTTGGGAAAATAATCCCTTGCAAATGCGGTTATCACAAGGTATGTAATGATAAACATGATCATTTTACCTGTGCTGGTGACCATTGCCATATAAAGGTAATATTACTATATTTCTTCCAGTATGTACATTTTCATAACAGAAGCATGTTCATTATTTATGTTTGTATTGTGTCAATAAAAAAGAGTAATGTTGTTTGAAACACTGGAAATATTTTCAGACCTAGGGAGAAACTAACACTTTTTCCAGTCTGCTCAACAGACAGGGAATCAGCCTGAGCAGCCAGCCCCACAGACCAGTACAGTCGTGCAGCCAGTCCCACAGACCAGTACAGTCGTGGCGCCAGTCCCACAGACCAGTACAGTGGTGCAGTCATCCCACAGACCAGTACAGTCGTGCAGCCAGTCCCACAGACCATACAGTAGTCGTGCAGCCAGTCCCACAGACCAGTACAGTCGTGCAGCCAGTCCCACAGACCAGTACAGTCGTGCAGCCGTCCACAGACCAGTACAGTCGTGCAACCAGTTCCACACACCAGTACAGGAAAGACAGGAAAGCAGCCAGTGCCACACACCAGTACAGGAAAGACAGGAAAGCAGCCAGTGCCACACACCAGTACAGGAAAGCCGCCAGTGCCACAGTTCAGTATAGGAAAGCAGTCGGCTTCACAGACCAGTACTCGGGCTAATGAATCGAATGTAATCAAGTGCGGTCTATGTGGCAAAGAAGTCAACGTGGAGGATTATACTGAACACCTGTCGGACTACCATAACCAAGAGTGTTGTGACCGTTGTGGCGCGCCAAACGTCTGGGGTGCACACGGACTGCTTCAGCATATTGAAAAACACCATCATTTGAGTAGTTTTGCAGACGGCAGAAAAACTGTGGATCCAACTACAGCTCCTCCCACATCATCATTTGTGATTCATCCTGTAGCTGCACAAGCACATCCATCAGTTGCTGCTGACACAAACAAACCCATTTACACCCAAGGAGCTCCCAAAAGTTTACCCCACACACCATCCACAACACCCTTTACCCTGAGGCCTCCTGAAATAAATTGGGCGAGTTTTCTCCCCAAGCAATTCAGTAGAGTCATTAAACCAGCAGACCAGAAATGGATTTCACAGTGTCTTTATGACAGCAATGGACAGTTGAAACAACAATTTTCACATAACTGGTTTCATCCACCAACACCTTGCAAGCGCCCACAACTTCCCTCCTGATCCAGATAGCTACTTTAGACAGCGCATGTTTTTGTGGGCACCAAGCCGCATGTGGGGCATTCCGTTGAAATGCACGCAGTGCGATAGGAAGATGCACCACTCGGAATCTACACAAAAGTGAGGGAAGTCATTGATATTGACTCCAGATACTACCTAATTGGAGCAGACTACCCTCGCTGCAGTAAGTGCATGGTTCCTGTCTGCCCTTGGAGTATGGAGATTCTCAGGCAACTAGATCCTTCCCATAGAAACAAATCCCGGCTGTTCTCACCACTCAGCTTGCTCTGGACAGGAAATGTGTAACTTTGCTGAAGCCACGAACTGTAGGAAACAGCTCAAGTTACTTGCAGCAAGCGATTCATGAGCTTCACAGTGAGGAGTGGGCAAGACGGAGCATAAACTACCTGTCAGATTGTGAGCCTTACAAAAGAGAAGTGCCTTGACCAAGTCACAGACAATTTATCAGCGTCCACCACCGTTTTGCCCCCTACCCCTGGCACAGTGGTTTGAGACAGTACATGCCAACGAGATCCTGGGTCATCTTGACGAGTTGAAAGGTGTCATACGTCAACATACGGTAGAATCCTGAAGCTTGATTCTACAAAGAAGGTAAGTGTGTGTGTGTGTGTGTGTAGGCAAATATATGTTAACTTCAATTGATTTTCAATAATTGTTATATTAATATGTATGTTTACATATTTATATAGATCACCAAAAACTTGCTGGTGGCGTTATGACACGGCTACGTGGATGACCAATATTGGTAACGAGTTTGGGCAAGTCCTGAACTGTGTTTTAACAACTGGTGAGGGAGCGGGTCTAGATGACTTATGTCAAGGTATCGTCAAGCGCTACAGGGATGCTGATGAGCCAGAGCCAGATGTCATTTATGTTGACAGGGATTGCTGCAGTGAGACAGGTGTGTGACCTTCAATCTTCTCCTACCAGGAATTTTCACTTTTTTTTTTCACCCCAAAATGAATGATGTTGCAAAAGACATTCTCAAAATTTGTGGTGATATTTGTTTCATTACCACCAATGATCATTATGTAATTGGTGTTAGCACTTGCACAGATCAATATTATTAATGTCAGGTCTGAGCTGATCATAACTAAAACCACGTATTCACTATAGAAGTTTCCATGACTTTATAGGATTTTGTTAATTACCATGACTTTGTCAATAATGGAAATCACATATTTAAACCTTCCCTGATACTTCCAGTTTTCCATGAATGTGGGAACCCTGAACCTGGGCTCTCATAGCCTTGAAATATAAGAAAATGCATAAATGCTTTCCTTGTCTTTCACTGGTACAGGTGTAACACCAGTTCTTACCTGGTTTCGACCATGGAAAGTCAAAGTGAGACTTGATGTTTTCCACTTTATGAGGAGATTCACTACTGGTCTTACAACAGAGCACCATCCACTGTATGGTACTTTTTGCTCCAAGTTGTCCAGCTGTATTTTTGAATGGGACAAGGATGACATCCGACATCTTAAAGAGGCAAAGAAATCAGAGCTTTTAAAACAACATGGAGGTCATATTCCAACAGAAGCCCAAATTATGTCCAGCATCAGCTCCAGTGAGCTGGCCAAGCACTGCAGGAGGAGGACTCGTGGGGTTAAAGAAACCCACACAATGATACAAGAACTGTTGGACTGCATGTGGGAACTGACTGACACCACGGGTCTACGCCTCGTAAATCCAGCTAGCATGACACGCGTGTGGGAGGTTCAACAAAAGCACTTGCCATGCATCCAAGATCCACCCGGTGTTC